TCAAAAAAAAAAGTTCTAGTAAAAATAAACGCATACATACATACACATATATACACATACAAAAACACACACACACACACACACATATATATATATATATATATATATATATATATATATATATATATATAAAAGGAAAAGTAAAAGAGAGTATATATGGAAGTGAGAAGATTATATAGAGGTTTATGATCGAGACTTTTTTAAAATGTTGATGATTTGGGAGTAGGCGAGTGATAGATTTTGCTTGTCGGTTTTTAAGTTAAGTGGTTTGTAGTCTAATTGAATGAAAACACTTTCCGTAAGTAGTCTTTTGTCGTGGTTAGGTACTGTGGCAAGAATGGAGGTATTGTCAAAGTCAAATGTGTGGTTTGAGGTTAAGGCGTGTTCAGAGAGTTTAGAAGCAGTAGAGTTCTTAGAAGTAATTGAGTATTTGTGTTGTTTGATGCGGTCTTTAAGTTGGTTTTTGGTTTCTCCAATATAGGCGGAGTTACAATTGGTGGTAGAGCAAGGAATGCGGTATACGATATTAGAGCGGTGTTGCGGAGGGATGGGGTCTTTTAGGTTGGAGTAAATATTGGCAAGTTTGTTATAGTTTTTAAAAGCAACTCGCAGGTTGGGAATAGAGGAACGTAAAGATTTTTGAATTCTATCCGAAAGTAAAGGGATGTATGGTAGAGATCTATATAAAGGAATGGGGGGCTGATTTTGAGAACTAGAGAAAGGGATGGAGGATGAGGGGCGGGTTTTGTAGTCAGTAATAAGTTTTTTAATGGTGTTGGAGGGGAAGTTATTAGACAATAGTATCCGTTGTATGCGTCTAGTGTTTGTTTCATGTAGGTAAGGGTCAGATAGAGAAAAACATCGGTGAATGAGGTTTTTGGCAACGTTAAGTTTTTGGTGAAAGGGGTGTTGAGAATAGTAGTTGAGTAATCTGCCAGAGTATGTTGGTTTTGTGTACCAGTCTGTGGATAAAGTATTGTTGGGATGTCTTTTAATGAGAAGATCGAGGAAAGGGAGGGAATAGTTATCTTCGTATTCAACTGTAAAAGAGAGGCGGGGATGATATGAGTTAAAGGCGGAAAGGATGTCAGGAATAGTATCAGGATTGACGATGAGAAGAAGGTCATCGACGTATTTTTTTTATAAGAAATATGTCATTAGGAAACTGTGGGGCTATGGTGTTTAGGAGATCATTAAGAACAATGTTAGATAAGTCGGGTGCGAGAGGATTACCCATAGCTAATCCTGCAATTTGATTATAAAATTGTCCATGGAACTGGAGATAACCAGATTTGCAACAAAGTTGTAGGGATTCAATAAATGATGAACGGTTAAGGGAGGTATGAGACTCTAAGGATGACCAGTTATTTTCTACTATAAGAAGGGCTTTATCTATAGGGATGTTGGTGAAGAGGCTTTTAACGTCGAAGGAGACTAGAATGTAATTATCGGGAATGGTTAGGGATAATAACAAATTACGTAGATGAAAGGAGTTGTGGATATCATATGGATTGTCATGACTAAGGATTTGTAAGGATGGGAGTAGAAATTTGCTGAGTTTTAAAGAGGGAGAGTTGATATTAGAAGTGATAGGACGGAGGGGAGTGCCGGGTTTGTGAATTTTTGGAAGACCATAGAAACGGGGAGCCACGGAGTTATAAGAGATGAGGTTTCTGTAAGTAGGATATGTGATTTGTTTAGAGTGTAAGAGGTTTCTGATATGTTGGTTAAATTGGATTTTAAGAGAATTGGATTTTCTACTCCCATCCTTACAAATCCTTAGTCATGACAATCCATATGATATCCACAACTCCTTTCATCTACGTAATTTGTTATTATCCCTAACCATTCCCGATAATTACATTCTAGTCTCCTTCGACGTTAAAAGCCTCTTCACCAACATCCCTATAGATAAAGCCCTTCTTATAGTAGAAAATAACTGGTCATCCTTAGAGTCTCATACCTCCCTTAACCGTTCATCATTTATTGAATCCCTACAACTTTGTTGCAAATCTGGTTATCTCCAGTTCCATGGACAATTTTATAATCAAATTGCAGGATTAGCTATGGGTAATCCTCTCGCACCCGACTTATCTAACATTGTTCTTAATGATCTCCTAAACACCATAGCCCCACAGTTTCCTAATGACATATTTCTTATAAAAAAAATACGTCGATGACCTTCTTCTCGTCGTCAATCCTGATACTATTCCTGACATCCTTTCCGCCTTTAACTCATATCATCCCCGCCTCTCTTTTACAGTTGAATACGAAGATAACTATTCCCTCCCGTTCCTCGATCTTCTCATTAAAAGACATCCCAACAATACTTTATCCACAGACTGGTACACAAAACCAACATACTCTGGCAGATTACTCAACTACTATTCTCAACACCCCTTTCACCAAAAACTTAACGTTGCCAAAAACCTCATTCACCGATGTTTTTCTCTATCTGACCCTTACCTACATGAAACAAACACTAGACGCATACAACGGATACTATTGTCTAATAACTTCCCCTCCAACACCATTAAAAAACTTATTACTGACTACAAAACCCGCCCCTCATCCTCCATCCCTTTCTCTAGTTCTCAAAATCAGCCCCCCATTCCTTTATATAGATCTCTACCATACATCCCTTTACTTTCGGATAGAATTCAAAAATCTTTACGTTCCTCTATTCCCAACCTGCGAGTTGCTTTTAAAAACTATAACAAACTTGCCAATATTTACTCCAACCTAAAAGACCCCATCCCTCCGCAACACCGCTCTAATATCGTATACCGCATTCCTTGCTCTACCACCAATTGTAACTCCGCCTATATTGGAGAAACCAAAAACCAACTTAAAGACCGCATCAAACAACACAAATACTCAATTACTTCTAAGAACTCTACTGCTTCTAAACTCTCTGAACACGCCTTAACCTCAAACCACACATTTGACTTTGACAATACCTCCATTCTTGCCACAGTACCTAACCACGACAAAAGACTACTTACGGAAAGTGTTTTCATTCAATTAGACTACAAACCACTTAACTTAAAAACCGACAAGCAAAATCTATCACTCGCCTACTCCCAAATCATCAACATTTTAAAAAAGTCTCGATCATAAACCTCTATTTAATCTTCTCACTTCCATTTATACTTTCTTTTACTTTTCCTTTTATATATATATATATATATATATATATATATATATATATATATATATATATATATATATATATATATGTGTGTGTGTGTGTGTGTGTGTGTTTTTGTATGTGTATATATGTGTATGTATGTATGCGTTTATTTTTACTAGAACCTTTTTTTTTTGACACTGCTAACTAGAGTTTTTGACACTGCCAGTGTTTCAACCGCCTCCCGCAGTGCCACATCCAACGGTATGTTTTGACTTTTATTGAGATTCCTTTCTTAACACACCTATCCTTCAACTATACACCTTATTATTATCTTCATACAGCCTACCATTCCATTACCGCTTTCAAAAAACTAAATGTCAATTGTCATCTATATATAGTACAACCTGTTTTTTGTTTCTTTATCATCATAACCTTGTTTTTACATTTATTCTTACATTTTAAAGTATTCTTTTAAAATTATTGTTTTCTTATAGAGTTATTTATACTTAATAATCTATCCCAACAATATTACACTAATGTTACCCTATTAATCTTTCAATTTCTTCACTTCTTAACCTTTGGTCCCGTTATCTGTTTATTTACAATTAAAGGTAACCTCCACCTGCTTGTTATCCACTGATATCTTATTATTATGTTATCTTATCCATATTTTAACTTTACTGTAACAATAGTTATTCAATTTTCAATCAATTTATTCGTTAACATTCATTTATTCGTTAACATTCATGTATTTATTTTCTTTTATCTATTTTCTTATCATGTATTTATTTTCTTTATCTTTTATTTCTGTATCTGACAACTTCTTCGTAATTTATATATACTTATATTTATTTTTTATTTTATTTTTATATTTTCAACATGTTTGTATCTTTTGTAGCCCTGAAGACGACCTGCAAAGTGGGTCGAAACGTCGGCAAAAATTAAAATTATTTATATATTTTAATTTTTTTTATTTTTTTGACCGCACCCTCGGCTAATTCCTTCTCATATCATATCAACGGTCAACCATCTCTACATCATTTTAAATTAGTTATAATATCTCAATAATTCGTAGTGTGTATTCTACTTGTTTGTAATTTTAGTGTTAAATAATTATTTTCTTAAAGTTGTTTTCTGAATACTTTTTTTTCTAAATCGTTTTTTTCACTATAGGTCATGAATATGAGAACAATAAAATCTCAAAATTTTACCAAAATATAGTTCTATATTTATTGACTGGACCTTAAAATCCTCAGGAAACGCACACGCACACGTTTGTGTGTTGGTTTATTTTAAAATAAAATATTGTACAACAATAGGTCTATTCTGTAAATATAAGAAAAAAGTTAAATTTTTGTAATCCTGTACCACTACAATCCATGAAGGGTCTTAGGTTCAGTACTATTTAGGAAAAGCACTGTTTCTTGGTCTATGGTTGTGCAAGGAGGTGATTTGACTGATATCACTCTCAACCGCCAGGTTTTTCCCCTTAATTAATTATTTTTAATTAAGGGTACTCACTTTATAGAGGCTGGGTGTGCCCCAAGAGAGTCTCTCTACCCAGGGTCGCCCCACGGCCAATGAAACAGAATAAATAATTTTTCTGCCATGAGCCGGATTTCGAACCTGGGACCTTTAGCATTGAAAGCTCAGTACCCTACCACTGAGCTACCCCACTCCCTAAACATTTTTGTAGTAATTATTGCTATATATTATAATAAATTATTTTTTTATTTAATGTTATAAATATTAGTAATAAAATTAATAAATATTAAGGATGGTTTTAAATGAAGCAACGTTTTGATCCTTATTATTAGTTTTATTTTCTAAATATTAACTTTGCCTTGAATGTTTGGTGAATTTGCAGAGCAAAAAAGGTTAGCAGCTAAACAAAGGGATGCTGCATGGGAAGGAAAATTTTGACATTTCATGTAAGTATAATATTTGTTTATATTTTAGGTTTCATTGCATTTAAATTTAATATTTATGATTACAAAAAAAAAATAAAAATGTAACTATGATTAATCTATTTCAAACACACTTTTATCTTTTTCATTTTTTTTTTTTTTTTGTAGTTGTTTCAGAATTTTGTTTAAAATAAATTTTTTTATAAGTTAATTTTTCATCTTCATTCTTCATAGCATTATTTCCAAGTCAATTTCAATTTTTTCCAAATCAAACCTAACCTTTTCCATTTCAAATTCAACCTTTTCCAATTCAAATTCAACCGTTTCCATTTCAAATTAATGTTCCCAATATTTGTAATTTATTTATTTTTTTTTTAATAAGGGACATCCCCCTTCCTACAATATGAAGGTCTAATATTATGCTCCCCTAAGTAGAGTTTTTCAAAATACTATCAATTTTATGTCACACTTACGGATATCGATTTATTGTACCTATTCGGGTTTATTAGGGTCTAGTATTATCCTGTCGTGTGCCAAGTTTTTGAAAATGGCCTCCTTTTTATGATTACGCCACCGCGTTTCGACTTATTTAAGTTTTTTGAATTTATTCGATATAAGGGTGTATTCTTATGTTTCCGGAGCCGTTGATTTTTAAAATGAACCCCATTTTATGATTGCGCTACTGCGTTTGACTTATTTAAGTTTATCGGATTTTTTCCATATGAGGGTGTATTCTTATGTTTCCGGAGCCATAGATTTTGAAAATGACCTCCATTTAAAGATTACGCCACTGCGTTTCGGCTTATTTAAGTTTATCTAATTTATGCGATTTAATGTTCTACTTTTATGTTTCCTGAACCGTGGTTTTTGAAAATGACCTCTATTTTAAGATTAGACCACTCTGAATCGACTTATTTAAAGTTTTTCGGATTTATTCGATATAGGAGTGTATTCTTATGTTTCCGGGGCCGTAGATTTTGAACATGACCTCCATTTTAATATTACGGTACTGCGTGTCGACTTATTGAAGTTTTCCATATGAAGGTGTACTCTTATGTTTCCGGAGCCGTGGATTTTGAAAAAGAACTCCATTTTATGATTATGCCACTACGTTTCGACTTATTTAAGTTTTTCAGATTTATTCGACATAAGAGTGTATTCTTATGTTTCCGGAGCCGTAGATTTTGAAAATGACCTCCATTTTATTATTACGCCTCTGCGTTTCGTCTTATTTAGGTTTTTCAGATTTATTCGATATAATATTGTATTCTTATGGTTCAGAAGCCGTAGATTTTGAAAATGATCTCCATTATATGATTACATCACTTGCGTTTTGACTTATTTAAGTTTTTCGAATTTATTCAATATACAGGTCTACTTTTTTGTTTCCGGAGCCGTAGATTTTGAAAATGAATTCCATTTTAAGATTACGTCACTGCGTTTCGACTTACTTATGTTATTCCAATATATTCGATGTAAGTGTTTACTTATATGTTATTGGAGATGTAGTTTTTTTAAATGACCTCCATTTTAAGATTATGCCACTGTATTTTGGATTATAAAAGTTTTTTTTTAACTTATTCGGTTTACGGATCTACTTATATGCTATCGTATTTGAAATTTTTCGAATCTATAATATTTAAATTTATTTAATATTTATTCTACATTTTATGATTACACCGCTGCATCTCGATTAATTAACCTTTATTTTGGATTTTTCCAATACAAAGAGTCATCAATATATTTTCGAGAATGAATAAATAAATATTATGAAGCTAAGGTTAAAATAACCACAAAACACAAAGTAAAAAGCCGTTAAAGCAACTAGGAAAAATTTAACCTACATATTAAGATTTTTCAGCTAATTGTTCGAAATATATTAATTTTGTAAGAGGAGACCACAACATTAAAAAAGATAACTAGAATTAAATTAAAAATAAGACAATAGATATTTTATTTTTTTCGGTTGACAAATAAATTAATACTTTTATTTTTTTTTATTTGAAGGAAAAATCAAAAACACTTAGGCCCTCCGCTCACGAGGCGAGAAAAATCGAGGAGAACTGCGCGTCAAGCTTAACTTACTCGTCTTGTGCGTCAAGTACCTCCCCAACGAGGCGAGAAAATTCGAGCGAGAAAAATCGAGAGTTGCACTCGACGAACTGTGCGTCATATGCGATTTTAGCTACAATATATATGTATATTAATACTTTTTAATATCGGGAATGAAGACTTTGTTTTTCACTGTTAAAACAATTTTTCGGCAAAGAAAAAACGAAAAAAAGAAAATAGTGTAGATAATTTTCTAAATTTTCATTAAATTTTCCTCTTTTGTCTTGTGAATAGCTGATAGGATTTTTATCATCGATTTTCTAGTGGTCCAACCATTTTCGACCAACGAAAAAGTAGGCGAAGATAAGGAAATAGGGTAGAGAATTTTTCCGAATTTTCATTCGCTTTTCCTCTTTTATTTCGGAAATGGATGCTCGGATTTTCGCTGTTCTAATCATTTCCCAACTTTTAAGAGTTAGGCCAGTGGAAACTGTAGTGGTACAAATATTCCTAATTTTCTTTCGCTTTTCCTCTTTTATAACGGAATGGACGGTCGGTTATTCATCGTCCCAATAATTTTCCAACTGTTCAGAGTTTGGCGAAAATGGGGAACGAGTGCAAACCTTTTCCAAATTTTCATTCGCTTTTCCTCTTTCATCTCGTTTCCTCGTTCCAACCATTTTTCGGTAATATAAAATTAGGCGAAAATAATGAAATAATGTAAAGAATTTTCATTCACTATTCCTCTTTTATTTCGGGAAAGGATGCTCTGATTTTCACTATTCTAACCATTTCCCAACTGTTTAGATTTAGACCAACGGAAATTGTATGTCAATGAAAACAGTAGTGGTACAAATTTTTCCGAATTTTCTTTCACTTTTTCTCTTTTATACGTGAATGGAGGCTACGATTTTCACTGTTCTAACCATTTCCAACTGTTTAGATTTAGACCAACGGAAATTGTAGTGGTACGAATTTTTTAAATTTAGATTCGCTATTCCTCTGTTATTTGGTGAATAGATGCTCGGTATTTCAACGTCTCAAATATTTTTCAGCTACTTAGATGTAGGTGAAAATTAATGAAAAAGTGCAATCATTTTATGAATTTTCTTTCCTATTCCTTTTTGAACTCGGGAACGAAGGGTCGGTTTTCAGTTCTCCAACCATTTTTCGGAAATGTATAGGTAGGCGAAAATGGAAAGATGGTGTAGATAATTTTTGAATTTTCATTCGCTTTTCCTCTTTTCAAACAATTTTTGAACGGTCAAGCGAGGCAAAAATTTCATTGAGAAATTCGCGAAATGTTTTGAGCTGCGAAAAATATAAGCTATGTTCCTCCCTAAAAAATTATTTACTCTGGAAACAAGACTGATTTTTAATAAATATTATTTTTGGTTGATAGCTACAGTATTAGTATAATTTGGACCAAGCTATGTGGGGGTACATATTTTTTTTATGGAGAAACTAAATTTATATTCGTTTTTCGCACCACAAAAACGCTTAAATACAAATTTTTATAGCAATCGGAATTAATTCGAAACGAGAGGGACCCGAAACATGTGGGATTCCCCAACCACACTACTTCCAGGTCAATTTCTACATAGATACCCAACAAGGCGAGATGGAATCGTAGCGAGAGGGAGACTCGAACTCGAAGCGAGACGACTTGACCACGAAGCGAGATGGAATCGAACTGTGCGTCAAGTGCCTCCCCAACGGAGCGAGAAAAATCGAGAGAGCTAGGCGCGGTACCCCAACAACACTACTTCAGAGTCAATTCCTATATATCTTCCCAACGAGAGAGTAGAAATTCAAGCGAGATAGCAGTGAACTGTTTAAGCGAGAAAATTCGAGCTTGACGCATGAATTACTTTATAAAAAATATTATTATTAATAATAAAAACTGATTCTTCTTTCGATTTCTTTGATTATTTTTATAGTATGATAAGTGACATTTTATTTAGGACTTCTTTATGGTGTAAAAAATTTTCTGAATTTTTGTTCGCTTTTCATCATTTATGTTCGAAATGAGTGCACGGACTTTCAATGTTCCAAATATTTTCCTAATTTTTAAAGATAGGCCAATGAAAACAGCATTATTTATTTTTTAATTTTATAAAATAATGATAATTTTTCTCTAAAATGAGTACTCGAATTATCATTTTTCCAAAACATTTTCAGTAATGTAGATGTAGACAAAAATGTGGAAATGCTGCAGAAAATTTTCCGATTTTCCTTCGCTTTTCCTTTTTTATCTCCTAAATGAGCGCTCGGATTTTTAATGTTCCAAACATGTTTCTAATTTAAGGATAGGCCAATGAAAACCATATTGGTGAAAATTATTCGAATTTTCATTCGCTTTTCCTCATTTACCTCCAAAATTAGTACTCCAATTATCATTTTTCCAAAACATTTTCAGCAATTTAGATGTAGACAAAAATGTGGAAATGCTGTAGAAAATTTTCCGGATTTTCCTTCGCTTTTCCTCTTTTATCTCCTGAATGATCGTTCGGATTTTTAATGTTCTAAACATGTTTCTAATTTTTAAGGATAGGCCAATGAAAACCGTATTGGTGAAAATTATTCGAATTTTCATTCGCTTTTCCTCATTTATCTTCTGAATGAGTGCACTAATTTTCACTGTTCCAAACATTTTCCCAATTTTTGAAGATATGCAAATGAAAACAGTATTGGTGAAAATTATTCGAATTTTCATTCGCTTTTCCTCATTTATCTTCTAAATGAGTGCACGGATTTTCACTATTCCAAACATTTTTCCAATTTTTAAAGATATGCCAAGTTACAAGTGAAAAACATATATGTATATACAATTTTATAGATACATAGTTGTATGAAGGAAATAATAATCATACTCAAATAACAATCATAATTGAAAATAGTTGAGACCATGAAAAACCTAGCATCCATACACTAAATCAAAGAGGCAAAGCAAATGAAAATTCGGAAAAAAT